TCTCGGGACCTGCCGAGCCCGACTCCGACCCGGTGCGCGCCCGGGCCTTGGCCTCCGGGCAGGAGTTGTGGGGAGCCCGCGGGAAGGCGGTAACTCGTAGAGAGGGCCAAGGAAAGTTCGAGTCCAAACTCCAGCCGCGGTGGCCACTCTTCTGCTCGTTTCCCTTCGCCGTCACCGCGCGTGCACTGCGGGCACAGGACAAAGCCGTCCTGTGCGCTCCTGGAGACTGCCCATGTGGCCCAAGGAGCCTGGCCCGGAGGATGGAGTAGAGAGAAGAGCAGGGAATTTCCCTGAGCATCCCTATGGGGAAAGTACCCAAAACCAAGTGTTTCGGAAGGAATCGCCTTCTCACCTCATTGTGGTAGTCTCATTTGTCCCAAATACACTCGAGCCAGGAAACAGGTTCCTCTTCAATACGGTGAACAATCTGAAGCTGTTTCTGGCCTTCAACAACAACAGCGATAGACTCTAGAGGATGCATCTGGACCTCACTAGAAAGGCTGCCTTTTGAAAGAAATTTGATAGGCAAAGATACCTGAGATGTTCACCAGTTCGGGCAATAATGAGAGAACCCTCCAAGACACCCTAACAGAATTGGTTACTCTGACTTCTAGCCTCGCCCTAACATTTGCAAGCCCAGGGCTTACCTACCCTATGTTTGAAATTTTACAAGGATTCTATGATGCTAATAAAGTATGTTCTGTGCTCCTGCTTTGAGAAATTACCTCCATAACAACCTGGAAGGTTTGTAAGCAGGATTCTCAGACACTTTGGAGTTTCTCCCTGAAACACAGCATGTGGGAAAGAGTCAGATCCAAATCTTTGGCCTGTACACCCTCACCGCCTTTGCGTCCTGTGCCCAGCTGTCTTCAAGGACAAGAAGGGATTTTTGTACCTGTGTGTGAACACTGCAGCCCACAAAACCAAGTTCTGTTCACACTTTCTACCAGCCACCCTTTGTCTGCCTCTGGAGCCCAGGTGTGCCTATACCAGTTGTTGGGTCCTTCATTGGGAGGACAGTTCTCAGAGGAAGCTAGCTCAGGGCCAAGAAGTGGCCTTGGTGATATCAGTCAGGGAATTCCAGGGTCCTGGGTCTTGGGGACATAGTGGTACCCAGGCTTTGGGTGCTAGCCTGGAGATTTTTCACCCCATAAGAAGAGTCAGGTTGGTGTCCTCTAAAATGGAGGGCCCAGAGCACGGTTTTTCTTGCTTGAGTCTAAGGGCATTACTGCCTCTGGCCCCTACAAAATTTATCTTAGGGACCAATTTCCAGGAATCTATTTATCTGACTAGAGCTTTCTCAATGGGAAGTAAATAAATGGTCTCCATTTATCATACACTAGTGTATTAAATTTGAATAGCAGTTCATTTGACCAACTCAACAATGTCCAGTGCTGTTTAATAATAATTCTGTGATTGGATAACTGTTCTAGTTATTTACTGTCTAATACGGTGGCCAACTGTGGCTACATCGTGTGTGACAAGTAGATAGTATGCAATAAGAAGTAAATTTTTCATTTCATTTTAATTAATTTACATTTGAATTTAAATACCCAGTGGCTACGCTGTTGATGTTGAACAACACAAGCCCAGACACTATGATGGAAAGAAAAAGT